TTAAATTTGACAATCTAAGGGAAAAGAGGTCAGTGTCCCTGGCTAAGTAGTGACGTGCTATGTGTTTTTAAATTCTTGTGGCACATTGGTCGAAACTCACTGACTTAGATGCTTGTAGAGACAGGTAACCCCACGGCGCGTAGCAGAGACCCAGGCCTGCCCCGGGCGCGCGGGGCCCCAGCTAGCGCTCGGTCTACCGCGCGTGCTGGACACCCGCCCCCGCCCCGCCTTCCACCTCAGCTCGTGCCCCCGCCGGTCCCCCCAGTGCTTTGTGTTGCGAGCCCAGCAGAAGGGCGCATGGCTGTGCCAGATGACGAGGAACCAGGCCTGCCCGCCCCCCCCGACTTTCCACGGCCGACCCACCACCAAGTCCCGTCCATGGCGCCCCCTCCGGAGCCCTCAGCGCCCCCACCCTCCTCGGCTGCGGCCTCGGCCAGCTGCTGGCGCCCCTCGCCTCTCACCTGGGCCCCTTTTGGGGCCTCTCGGCCGGCCTTCCGGCTCCCTCCTCCGTTCCGCTTAGCAACCGGAAGGGTGTTTAACAATTAAAGCACCTTGTTTTTATATCATTCTTGGCTTCAGCCCCTTTCCCGGCGGTCGGTCGAGCGCGACAAGGAGAGGCGTGACCTCCAGGTCCAGCCGGAGGGGGTGTGTCGCTCCCTAGCTGGGTGGCTGGGGCAAGACTGTGTGGCAGCTCTGCGTCCGGTCCCACCGGCAGGTGAGGACAACCCTTGCCCACGGGACGCGGGCTCAGCAGGAGTCTCCGGGTCCGTGTACGTAAGGCGCCCAGCTCAGTGCCGCATCTCCCATGCCGCCGTCACGTCACTAAAGGCCAGTCCTCTCGCCCCCGCCACCCGGCCCCGCCTGCTCGCCCGGCCACTGCTCTGTGCCCTGGGGTCCCGTCCCCGGCGCCAGGCCCTCAGCGCACTGGGCCTCCCACAGGCTCCTCCCGCCGCCCGCCCAGCGCCCCTCTAACCCAGCTCGTCCCTCGGAGCCTCTTCGAGGCCATGTCCGACAGCGAAAGCCTTCCTCCGCCCTAGTCTACGGCAAGTTTGTCCTTTGTTCCTTTTGGAGCCCATGTCCCCATTGTACGCACACGCTCATTAGGGTGAACATACAACAGCGCGTGTCCTGACTGCTCCGTGGACCCGTGAGGGCGCCAGGGCCGGGCACGCGCCTGGAACACGGTAGGTGTCAGCGTCCGTAAAAGCTCTGTAACAGATAGGGCTTATCTAAGACCCTGCGACAACCCCCTCATCACAGGCACCGTCCCATTCGGCCAAGTTCCTTTAGGAATTAGAAAGTGTGGCCAAATGCCTGGCCTTGAGTCAAGGCAGCATCTGGTACCAACTCTTTCACCCTGTAACTCCCGTTCCCCAAAACTGCCAAGGGGCCTCCCCAGCCTCCGACAAGTGCTCAGCACGGCAGGGAAGGAACAGGATAATCTCAAGACCTTGGGGCTGACCAACGTGGCCTGCCCGCAGGGTTGCTGGCCGCTGAGCCGGCTGGGCTTCCCAAGGCCATTCCTAAGGGTCCCAGCTGGGTAAGGAGTTCTCGCAAACACTCACGAAGCAACCGTTGGACACAGGGGACCCCGGCAGCGGCTTCACACACCTTGACCCTGAACTGGGGAGGGGTCAGCTCTCCAAAGGCGAACCTGAGCCGGAGCGCCCTCCACCGTAGGCGCCTGCCATAGCGGCCTCGACACATTTTGTTTGTATGCTTTAAGTCCTTATCTATTAGAGAAACATACTAAAGTATTGGAGTGAAGGGGTATATCTGAGATTTGCTTTAAAATACCCCAACAGCAAACATTGGCGGGGGGCACTAAATGAAATAAGAATGACGAGGAGCTGGTGACTGAAGCTGGGCGAGAGCTGAGGGGCCCACTTTACCTGATGCTGTTTCTGAGTCGCTGTGAAAAGTTCCACAGCAGATGTTTTTAAAAGCCTCAACATGTATAAAGCAGAAATGGACAGAACTGTAGGAATTCACGGACACATCCATCGCCGTGGTGGGAGCGCACAACATACTTCTTTCAACTATAGGTAGACCTAACAATCAAAAGCCTAATATTGTGGACATAAATAGACAGCTAGGGACCAAAAAAATCTTATAAAATATACATGAAAAATTCATAAAAATGGATCATATACTAGGCCATGAAGCAAGAAGTGTCAATAAAGTTCAAAGAATCTTATGATATAGACTATGTTTTTGTAACAGTGCAATTAAGGTATAAATCAGTAATAAGAAAAACTGTCCAAACACTTGAAATTTTGAGATGAATTCGAAATAGCTCATAGGTCAAAGAAGAAGTGTATGGTCATGAAAATTTGTGAAGTGCCATGAAAACAGCACTTGGAGATAAATTTATAACCTTAAATTCATTAGCAAATGTACATCTTCAGACATTGGAAAAATAACAGAAAATATTTTTTAAAAAAGAACAAAGAAAAAGAATGAAGTTTAATTAATATAAAGGCAAGGCAAAAAACACTCAAGGGGGTCCATGATGTCAAAAATTAGTTCTTGAAAAAGATTGATGAATTTGACAACTATCTGGCATGATATATTTATGAAAAAAAAGAGAAAGCACAAACATATTAGGAACAAAAATGGGACTTACCTTCAGATCGGGATTTTTAAAAGCTAAGAGAATAAATATGAATAATTATATGATACTCAATTTAAAAATTTAGATATATAATTATTAGTAAAAAAAAATTTCTACAAAAAAACACCAAGCCAAATGGTTTTACTGGTAAATGCTGTCAACTTTCAAGTAACTCATCTTTCCTCTCCTATATAAACACTTCTAGAAATTTTTAAAAAAGAGGAAATACTCTCTTCCCTCCACTCTCTCCCCACTATGTGGCGAGTATGTTGATACCCAAATAAGAGAAGCAGCAAGTCAGAGCGGGAAATAGCAGGGCATCTCATTTAAGAAATGTCTGGCACACTTCGCTTGCCTTTCTTCTTCCAAGAAATTTGTCTTTGAACAGACAATCTCACATCACCAGTATTTAGCCACTTAAGGGCAAATTTCCTGTTTGGGGTTAACTCAGAAACACTTAAGCAGACGAGTCTAACGTTTGAGATTGCTCTCAGGGTCTCATTTCTCTCACCTTTCTAAATCTTCCTTGGTTTGGCATTTTTCACAGTGTTCTTAGTTACAAACAGAAGGAGGAATAAGTTAAGTTAACCCAAGTTTTTATAGAGACAGAAACAAGTTACCTTTTTTTTGGTGGCTAGAGACAGCTCATTTGGACACATTTCTCTATAATTAAAAATAATATTTAGTATAGCACCACCATAATGGAAGTAAAATATGCAGAAGAGGAAAAGTAATTTTAGTATACTCTATGGCACAGCTGTGCATAACATGTACAAAGTCATTACATATGTGTTTGCATGTGTTACATGTGACAATTCATCTAGCACATCTCTTTGTGGTGAAAGAGGTGACAACATAGATTTTGCACAATGCTGGAGCCAGAAGTCTTGCATTGTCCTCTAGGGGCTACTGCAGTTTAAAGGGGGGCAGCCTAGGCAGGGACAGCTTCCCAGACGAGTTTTAAGTGTTCTGTGGCCTCACTGAAGTTGGCTAATTGTGCTCCTATGAGAAGCCCCCTGTAGCCAATTATGAAACATTTGAAACATGGCCTATTCTGGCCACACTGTCTCTATTTCATTACAGAAAAAAACCCCGCAGGTGAGATTGTGAAGGAGCTATTCTTAGCGCTCCCCTCTCTGCAGTTTATGTTGAAGGTTTGCAAGGCCCAACAGAAAAGCTTGGCCAGCAGACAAAAACTGGTTCTACAATGAAAAGGGAGGGAGGAACTAAAATATGACCATACAAATAAAACGCAAGGAAAGCAGGCGCAACTAGGGCGTAGGTGCGGGTTGCAGGGAACACGGGAAATCTGACAGCATCTAAACATGAGTGGCCCAAGCTCACCTGGGGAGCTTTGAAACACGCGGGTTCCTGGGGGTCCATATTATGTAATTTAGATTCAATAGTGTAAATTGTGCCCCCAAATGTGTATTTGTAAAAGGTTCCTGCAGTGCATACAGGATCAGCATTGCACGGAAGCCTGTCCTGGGTTCCGGGGGAAATGCACCAGCATTGCATGGAACGGTGGTTTCTCCACTTACTGGAAAAAAAGTCACAAGAGGAGATGACATCATCTTTGACGTTGTCCATGAAAGACATGTTGATTTGTGAGTTTTTACTTTGCACATTGGTGTTGAGCTTTCTGTAGAGGATGAGAATGCCCAGATTTTGTTGTTATTTCGGTGGCTATAGAGCGTGTGGAAGAGCCATCTCATTTGGGCACATTCTTTTATCATTAAAAAAATGCATCATGACATAACCATGCGGGGCTTGATGTGAAGTGTGTGCGCCTTAGGCCAAGTGGAACGCAAGGCTGGAGGGGGAAGCAGCCTGGGAGCTGTCCTTGGTGCTGAACGCTAGCCGGCCGCGCCCTCGACCTTCCCAGCCCGAAAGGGCCTCCGTCCGTCCCCAAGCCCCACGTTGTTTTCTGCTCTCACCGCCAGCTGCTTCTGTCCCAGCACGAGCACTAGCGAGGGTGGCCCTTTATATTTTTGTCTTGGCGGCAGACAGTCTCGTGTTGGCGTCCCCCGTCCCCCTTCCTTTTCCGACTCCCTGGGCCCCGACAGATGGGCGCGGCACCCTCCCCTCCTTCGCTCCTCGGTGGGCGGGAGGCAAGGCGGCGTGGCTGGGGCCTCCCCTACCCCAAGCCCGCAGCTCCCGCGTTGCCTGGGGGCGCCCCGAGCACGGCGCCCCACCTCCCTCCCTCCGTGCCCCTTCCCCACCTCCGCCTCCACCCGCTCCTCCTCCTCGCTCCGCCCGGCGCGCCGGCAGCCCCCGAGCCACATCCCCGGAGCTGGGAAGCGAGAGGAGGCGAACGAAGCGACACAAAGGGCGGAGCGGCGCGGCGCGGCGGGAGGAGAGTCCTGGGCGCGACGGGCAGCGCGGCATGGACGCCGAGTTCCCTGCCTTGGAGCCCCCGCTGTGCGGCGAGCTCAAGCACCTGTGCCGGCGGCTGCAGGAGGCGTACCGGGAGCTACAGGAGGACCTCGCGCCGCTGCGCGATGACCGCTGCTACTACAGGTGGGCCGGCGCGGGCCGGGGGCCTGGGGGCGGGCGGGGCGCAGCCCCGGGCTTCGGCGGAGCTTCGGGCCGGGCGCGGCGGCCGCCCCTCGGCTGCCTCGGGAAGGGGGCGCGGGCGGCAGGCCCAAGGGTTATGGCTGCGTGGCGCCCGCACCTGGCTGGGGGTCGAGGGCGGGCCGGGGGTGCGTGCGAGTGAGGAGCTGTCTCCATTTCCCAGAAACCGGAGCCGAGGTTCCCGTGTCCCGGGAAAGGGGCGCGCTAGGCTCTCCCCCGCTACGCTTTCGCTTCCCTGCGCGTCTTTCTGCCCCTAACCCTCGCCGCCGCCTCCCGCGCAGGCCTCACTGGGTCCCGGTGTGAGGCCGAGACCAAGCCCGGCCTAGCGTCCCGCAGGGAGGGCCTGGTCTCTCCTCCGTCGCCGCCAGGCCCTGCGCCTCGGTGGGAACTCCGAGGCTGGGGCGCTCCTGGGGCGGGGATGGGGGCACAGATGGGCTCCGGGCCGCGGGGCACCGTCGCGAAGATGCCGTGGGAGCCACCCACCGAAGCCCACCAGGAGCTGTCGCTTTGGGTCGTCTGTGTCCGTCCCTGTATCCCTCCCTAGGCACCGAGGTGAGAGCTTGGGGCCTGCAGACCCCTGCGCAGGGTGCCGCCCCTTCCTCCCCGCCTCGCGATTCTCACGGGTCCGCCACCAGTGGCTGGACATCGCGGGGGCGCCCCGCGCGCGGGAAGGACCCAGGGGGTCAGGGGCTGGAGCCTGAGGCCTGGATCGATCCACTCCAAGGCCCCGAGGGTGCCGGCCAACGCTGCTCTACAGGCCGCCTGCTGGTAACAGGGAAGCTTGAAGCAGGCGCTTTCCGAGCGTCAGGATTTTGGCCACGACTGGCTTGCTCTGCGCTGCCAGTGCGACACGAGGCTCGGGAGGGTAAACACGTACCCCTCTCCCCACCACGCCTTTCTCAGAACCCGGCGGCCCCCGGGGCTCACCTGCATCTGTTACTAAACGCTATATAGGCCACGGTTACTGATTTTTTCGAAAAAACATAATTCCAAGATCATGCGGGGTAGCTCTCCTGTGTGCCTCATAATCTGTCTATTGCAGCCTCCTGGGGGGAGGGCAATATAATAAACCCCCAACAACCCATAGATTGTTTCAAACGTATTTTCTTAAAGATTTTATGTATTTATATTTAGAAGGAGGGGAAGGAAGGAAGGGAGAAAGAGAGGGAGAGAAACATCGATTGCCCACTGGGAATGGAACCTGCAACCCAGGCACGTGCTCTGACCAGGAATAGAACCTGTGACCTTTCGCTTTTTGAGACAATGCACAACCAATTGAGCCATACTGGTCAGGGCTCAAATCTTATTTTTGATATGTTCCAATCTCCTTTCCCACTAACTAACCCCCCCCCCCTCTATTTTTCCCTATGTTTTAGTTTCTTGAGAATGTATCTTTGGCAAAGGAGTTGGTGAATAGTGAAATAGTCTTAATACAAGTAGCAGAGGAGAGAACAAAGCCACGTCATTGGTTCATGCACAACTGGACTGTCCTTTACTCATTCGCCTGCTTATTCCACCCATAGTCACTGAGCATCTCCTGTGGTTGTGCTGTAGTTCTAGATGTTGGGGATACAGTCGTGAGCAAGACGGACAGGGCACCTGCTGTCATGGGGCTTGCTGATAATGAACACGTGGTTACACATGCCACGAGTGCTAGGAAGATGACGAACCCAGTGTCGTGACAGAGCGTGCTGGGGGCCTGCTCTGGAGAAGGAGACATTAGACTGAGGACTGAATAATAAGTTGCTCACTAGAATGAGCTGGGAGGGGAAAGTTCCAGAAGAAGGAGAGGCTCAAAGTCCCTGAGACCTACAAACACAGTACGTTCAGGGAACAGACTGAAGACCAGCGTGACTGGAGACCAGTGGTCAGAGATGGAAGGGCTAGGTCACGAAAGGCCTTGAAGGCCAGACCGTGGGGTGTGATTAGCGTTCCCATGCGACACCAGTGAGGGGTTCTCAGTGGAGGAAGGGACATGAGCAGTTGGCTGCCTGTCCCACAGCAAGCATCTGAGTCTTGGCTCCAGGAGCCTCTTCACTCTTTAAGTCGGCTCCTGAGGACCAACCTACCACGGTCGGAAGGGGGCAGCGATGAGCGCGGCGCCGCAACCAGGAGACACGTTCCTGGCAGAAGGCTCTGCAGCGCAGGGTCTTGATTCAGAGCTTCTTCTACGGTGTGGAGGGGCCCTGGGTCGCTGTGCTACCCGCCACTGCCCCGCCGAGCATTTCTGTCCATCAGTGGCTCATACCTTTACGGAACTCCTGGCAACACTCTTGGGTTTCTAAGTTGGGAAGCTGAGAGCTACAGCTCCTGCATCTGTCTGGCTGGAAGACGAATTTGCTACTATAATTTTTGCTCCTACTCTTCTCACCCCCTGCATTTCCACCTTGGTGATTTATGACTACAGTGCACCTGTCCTTTTCCCCCGGAGGACGGGGACTCCCTTCCTGCGGCAGACAGTGTCCTCATAGTGGGGCATAGCAAGGACACAACTGCAAATGCTCTGTTTTCAAAAGATGGCTGCCCCCCGGTCCCCCACTGCCACCATTAGCTGGCAAGGCTCTTTGCATATTAGCTATGTTATTTGGCATCACGGAAAAGCGGCAGCTACGTGATCAAAGGACTCACAGGCATTTTCACAAAATGTGCGAGGACAGCTGGGAAGGGGGAGCCAGCCATAGGGCAGGGAAGGGCGGTGCGCTGGGCGTCCCAAGTCCTGGCTTCCAGCCCCGACTCCGCCCTCTGCTAACTCCCTGGCCTGGGAAGTCATCGAACTTCGCTGGTGATTAATTTCCACATTGGAAAAATGAAGCAAGGATGTTGTGAGGCTCCAGTGCTTTGAAGAAAACACTAAAGATGCTTCTAGACACAGATGCAGAAGAGCCAAAGCAACCAGCCAAAACAACAAGGTAACGGATTGAGCCAGCAGGTTAGACGGCATTAAGTCCTTCCTTTTTTATCTTGGCTGCTAATAAGCATTTGGGCTAGTGCTTCTCATTCAAAACTGGCTGACTTGAAGCCCACAGCAAAACTTCTGGAGTCTCCACTGTACCCACACCAAAGGGGCAGCAATGAAGAAGACAGCCGTGTGGACAGGACATGGAATTTCAGTCCCTGCAGGTGGGAGGGTCCCTTGGTTCGCTCACTGTGGAAGCTGACAGTGTCTCCTCAATGGAACACGCAGACTCCTTTGGGCCCAGCACTTCCTCCTAGGTGCGTGCCCTACAGAAGGGCATACCTTAAGAGACAGGTGCTAAAGCGTTCACAGCGGCCCGATTTGTCCTATTCCTGAACTGAAAACCGGCCCAACCGTCATCCCCTGAAGAATGGGTAGATCTGGCTTGCTCCGTGATAGAATATCACACAGCAGTAAAAGTAAGCAACCTACAACGACACACAATAGAGATGAGCCTCACACACGTATTGTGAGCAAAAGAAGCCAGACACAGGGAGTACATATTCTTTGATTCTGCTTACATACAAATGTATAAAACAAGCACACGGTCTATGCTGTGTTAGAAGTCAGGGTGGTGGTTACCCTTGAGGGGACAGGGGACGGAAGGCAGCAGGAGGGGCCTTTCCGGGTGCTGGTAATATTTTGCTTCTTACTCTGGGTGCCGGTCATCCGGGCACATTTAATTTGTGGCCATTTATCAAGCTGTACTTTTCCATATGTTCATTCTGCCTCAATGGAAGGCAGAAAAGGAAACCCACTCCCGTGTCTCATTCACGACATCAGGGCCTCGCCCTCTCTTCGCTCATCAGAGCACAAACCCACAAGGGAGCGGGGACGGACCTCAGCGAAGCAGAGGGCCCAGGGCTGGGGGCAGCTGCCCCCGGGGAGGGGGGCGGCAGAGGGCCGGGCCACCTGGGGTTCTGCTCGGGACAAGATGTGGGGGATGGGCCAGGCAGGCACCGGCTCCGTCTGTCCAGGGCACAGACGGCAGAAGTGTACAGAAATGCGGGGGGGGGCGGAGGCGGTCAGTGCTGTGTTCTGCCGCGTGGAACGTGCACTCATGTTTTTGACGCACGCATTCAGGAAGAAAATCTTTTGTTTTAATTTTTTAATTCAGTTTTTATTTATATTCAGATACTTGTTTTTCTATTATAAAGAATTTTAGCATTTATTTTTGAACATATCCTGGTATAAGAAGTTTTATATAACAAATAACTACAAGACACAAGAACAGATGCAAGGTACAAAAAATTTTTAAAAGACTTAAAAACATGTATATAGATACAGAATTAGCACTACCCCTACATAACGTGCATCCTTATTTTTCCCTAAAAAATTTGGGCAGAAAAGTGCGCAATATACACAGCAGAATACATCCCTTGAGAGCTCAGTGCTCGAAGAATTTGCGGTGGGCCATTTTGCTGATCCCTGCTCTGCTTCTCATGGGATTACGTCACCTCTGTAAAATATATGAGCGACAAAGTTGGCTTGTTTTTTCTTGGCCGGTGAAGTGATGCCCAGGGGGCCCTCACCCGAGAGGCTCCCGGAAGCAAGGCTCACGCCCTCGGTGAGTCCATCAGGCCCCGGGGCCGGCCCTCAGCCTCGCCGGCCTGGTAGGGACAGCACAGCGAGGGCGACTCGTTCTCAGTGAAGGCTTCCCAGGCTCCCGGACTGAGTCAGACACCGGTGAGTTAAACCGGCCGATGCAGACCCATGAGAACACCGGGGACCGGGCTGGTGTCAGGGCGCGGGAATCAGTTAGAAGGGGGATTCCACACGCTCGCCCCACATCAGAATCACCTTGGGGGGCTTTAAAAAATACAAATGCCCAGGCCCTCCCCTGAGGACTATGATTTCCTGAGCCCGGTTGGAGAGCCTGGGAGGGGAGAGGGGGGCGTTCCGGGCGCGGGGGGGCGGGGCAGCGAGCCCGGTGCACCCACGTCTCCCTGCACCGGAGGAGCGGGGTCACCAGCCCAGGCTCCCTCTCGCC